CACACACACACACACACACACACACACACACACACACGCGGAGTAACACACATATTAGTGTTAACACAGCATGCAGCAGGTCTGCACCTCCCTTCTGCTCCCACAGTTTTAAACGTGAAGACAGCGCCATGGTTCGAGGGCCTGTGGTGAAGATGAGGAGGACGTCGCAGTGATGGCAGCCGGTGGAGGTGTGTGTGTGTGTGAGCAGGGTGACACAACCTAATAGTAAGTACAGTTACACATAAGAAGAAGGACATTAGTTAGGGTGATTTACATCCACTCTGACTAGTTTCAGACTATCCAGGTGTCTTTGTTGCTCTTTTAAGGATCTGTTTCAGATGCCTCACGCTCAGAATGTAACAAAACAACTGAAAGAAATGATCACAAACTTAGACTGAGGGGCAGCAACTGTTTGTCTGAGGTCTTCAAGTGTAAACACACACCTGTACACTCCAGAGCAGCAAAAACCCTGCTTTCATTAAACTGACTGGTGATCATTTAATCCTGATCAGCAGCTCCTGAGTGGACCTGAACCTGATGAATCACGTGAAAACAAAAACAGTGGACTCATTTTTTTCCCCCCACAACTTTCTGTTGTGGCTGTTTTTGTACCTCTGATATGAAAACCTCGAGGACTTGTCCTGAAACATACAGGAGTGTATGATCTCATTTTGTAATAACAACACATTATGTAATAATGTAATAAAAATTAGGCTTCAAAGTTTAATAAACTCGCACTAAAACCGCATTATGTAACAATAGACACAAAATGTAATAAAAGTCTTCAAGACATTTTGTAATAACATTACATTTTGCGACAATTGTTACAAAATGTGGTGGTGTAATAATCTGGTGCATTTTGTAATAAACAATCAAAACCCAGTATTTCTGTTCATCCTAATCAATATACTTGTAATAACTGTCATGTTGCAAATACTACATAATTAAATCTTTGTAACTTTGGTTAAAAACACTGAACTTCTCATCTTTTATTTGCATTTTCAGTCTAATTCATGTGTACATGGATGTACAGAGCAATCTCACCGATTGTTTTCATGTTTTATGGAATCTTTCAAAAACAGTTTCAAATTTATTCAACATGTCAGAGCCTGTAGGATGTTAATGTAAGGGAAGTGACTTATGTAAAATAGGTCCCCCTACATCTTCTCATAACAAAGTTATGAGAGGAAATTTTACCAAGGTTTTTCTCATTACTTTAATATTTGTCTGTACAAAGTGAAGTGTGACACAATAAGGGAACGTCAGACGAGTTGAAATTGATTCATAAAAGATTATGCAATCATTTATTCACACAAATTGAACAAATCATAAGTTACACCTGATTTTGGATTTCCTATAACAGCGTCCAAGTTAAAATGAGATAAAAAAAAACCTGCGTCCGACTTTTCTTTCACATTAACTCAGATTACTTATATAGAACAGTAAAACGTCAGCTCTGATGTAATAACTAAACAATTTACTGGCACTTCAACTTAGGGTTGGCAAAGGAAAGGTAAGAAAAGATGATGAAAATTAAGGATTAGTGTTTCTGCTTTTATTTTGGAAAGGGTCTGTGTGACAACCGGATCAGCACGTCCTCTCTGCGCTCGGACTTCAACTTGACACGTCACCCCGAACACGTCAGCTTTTACCTGGGGATGTCTTCTTAAGGCAAACCTGGTATGAACTGTCTTGCCACAACCATCCAGGAAGCTTGTACCCGCTGGTCCTTGGCGAAAAGGTGTTTTCAGGTGGCTTTTCGTCTGTTTCAGCCCCGGCTAGAAGATTCCAGCTGAACAGTTCCGGTCGTCCTTCAAAATAAAAGTTCTCCCTGCGGGAGTTAAAAACACTGAAGAGACGTATGTCTCTGGTGGACAGGAGCGGCGTGCTCCTGTCCGGCCGTCAGATTCACCCTATTTGGCTGAAATGGGCGAAATCCGAGGCCCGGCTGTTCTCCGGAGAGAAGAAGCCGGTCTTCCCGTTTCGGCATACAGGAAGAAGACTGTTCCGTCTGTCCAAGATGTCCGTGTTAGTACAGAGAGTCAGACGCCTTGGATCCGCCCTGAGGCGTTTAGCATGAGTCAGAAAAAGAAAAGAGAGATAAGACTTTGCCAGGCGCCAGTGCAAGGTCACATTCTGTAGCTGTTTTAACAGACATTTGATAATATCTTCTTAGCTTTCTTTCTGATAGTCTCTAAGAGAAATCACTGTAAAACATTTATGATGATTAATTAACATTTCTGTTTAAATAATCAGTCTGAACTTGGTGTCCAGATAAATGTAGGATTTTCTTAAGAAAACTCAAAATTATATTACTGATGTTTCCAGTAAAATAAACAGTGATTTATAAAAACACAATGAAAACATGGTGAATATTTTTCTGTGATTTTATACCATTAATTAATCTTCTAGGCACGATAAAAGAGTAGGAGTGTTCCTTCCTCTCTTTGTGACAGTCATTATTATGATTAACAAATGCATAACATTCTTAGTTAAACAACAAATGAATCAYGAACAGAAAAGATTGTTTCTGTTCATTATTTGATTAAGAGACCTGAAGTTCTCTTTCTAGGTTGAAATGACCTGTCATGGCCTAAAATAGAGTTCAGTATTCCTGCCTTCGGCCAGGCCTTTCTGAGACCTGCTTTGAGGCAGTAACTCCTGTTTCTTCACTCGAGGTGACCCCTACATTAAAAACAATTATTAACATTAAATATCCACTTCCAACCCACTCTGTTGCTAGAAACAAGTTCTTCAACCCTCATTTACTTCTGATACAGAAGCCGACAGTCTGCCTGCACTGTGCCCCCCTCCCCTTCACGGCTGATGGTCCACCTGCACCCCCCCAAGACCCCCTGCTTGTGATTAATAGTTTGTTTTTTTTTTACAAAAATTACGTATTTTTAAGGCTCATTAAGCAGGTAAACGTCTGAAGGGGTTGACATGTATGTACAACTGACTTTTAGATATATTTTGGGAGTTGTCTACAAAGTGGAATAATATCTGTAACAGGGATCAGGACAGTAAATCTGAAAACGTAAATAAATAATGAGAAGTTCTGTGTTTTTTTTTTTGACCAAAGTTATAAAGATTTAATTATGTAGTATTTGCAACATGACAGTTATAACAAGTATATTGATTAGGATGAACAGAAATACTGGATTTTGGTTGTTTATTACATAAGGCACCAAATTATTACACCACCACATTTTGTAACAATTGCCGCAAAATGTAATGACGTTATTACAAAATGTCTTGAAGACTTTTATTACGTTTTGTGTCAATTATTACACAATGTGGTTTTAGCGCAAGTTTATTACATTTTGAAGTCTGATTTTATTACATTATTACATAATGTGTTGTTATTACAAAATGAGGCTTTATAAGGAGTTCAAACTGAACTTTCTAAGACTTTATTAATCAAAACAATCAATGGACCTCATGCAAGAACCGTTCGTACGCACAGATTTGTTCTTAAGTTGTGCGTACGAGTGATTTAGGAGAATTTGTGGCATTCACCAATGTTT